GTTCTTCCATGATATTTCATTTAATTATGTTTGGGGGTAGTGGTAATCAATGTCCAGGTAGAGCTTCACAGTTTACGAAGCGTTTTCACGGATCTTTTCCCACACAAGCCTCAAATACAGTCCTATGAGTAAGGTATCATCTCAGCTGTATTTTAGGTGGTTAAATAAAAGTATATTAAAGTGACTCCCTTATGTCACTCAAATAATGATGCTGGGGCTCTGATATAACCTGTTATCTGATGTCCACCTTTCCATCATCTTTCATTGACTGCTAGGGATCAAATAATCATACTCTGAGGCAGACAGGCTTGACTAATTATATTCCTGATTATAACAGAGATAATTTTAAGAAGCAACTTTAGAATATTTTTCACTCATTATAAGAGTAAAGGACAAACGAGAAAAGAAAATGGCTGATGAAGATTTCTTAAAGTTACCTTAAAATTTTCTCTACAGTAACTGAAGTTTTACTGAGTTAAAAGTTTAATAAATTTGAAAGCATAAACAAAACAGAAAATCTTATAGTTTAAATTAGTAAAATGAAAATGCCCATTAAAAAGCCTCTTACATTTTAAAGAATCATTTTGGGAGTAAGAAGAATATCATCTGTAAAAATAAGTAAGGGACTTCCCTGGTCGGCTAGTGATTAAGACTCCATGCTTCCAATGCAGGGGGCACGGGTTCAATCCCTGGTCTGGCAACTAGGATCACACATGCTGCAGTGGCACAGCAAACAAAACAGAACAAAACCCTAAGTAAATATTCTGTTATTTTAAAATTCCTAGAGAATTTTTTTTTTTTTCAAAACAAACTTGCTTGAGCCCTCTTCCTGGATGTTCTGAGATACCCTTGGGATGGAGGCAAAGAGGATGGAGAGGATGGAGCCAGAAGACAGTGGAGGACAGGGAAGCCTGGCGTGCCTCAGTCCATGGGGTCGCAAGGAGTCAGACATGACTTAGCGACTGAACAGGAGCACAGTGCTTCTTACGCTGTGATGCCTCCAACCAGTCACCAGGGGACTTCCTTCCATTCTGGTTTACTGCAGAGTATGAAGTTCTAACAAGTTCCCAGATGATGCTGATGCTAATACTGATCCTGTGTGTCTATGGACCACATTCGAGCAGTAAGGAGTTAGAAAACCACGGGACCAGATACAAACCAGAATAGCCTGCTTATCATGTAGGTCACAGGATTAAATTTCTCGGCCATCATTTGGGGAGTAAAAACATAAAGCAAATCATATAATTTTATTAACATGAAAAAGTAAATATGAAAAACACTTATTATCATGCTTGAAAAATACTGCTTAAATAGTCAGATGAGCTCATCTATGAAAAAAAAGTGTCTAGAAGATTATGATAAAAGCTCAGGTTTAAGACAATTTAAATAACACCTAATATCCCACAGATCTAGTGTTTACATGTTATGAAGAGTTTGGTACCCAAACTGTTCTGTCATGTTTCTGCCCAGAGGCTGTCATGATAAAGTTTATTATCAATTACTGCTTTACAAGTATAAAATAAGTTAAGCTGTCATATTTTTCTCAGCCAGAGATCCTAAGTTGTCAAAGAATGTCAATTTTGAATCTGACACAGAGAAGAAAATTATCTGTTATTCTGACCTCTAATTTCTTGACATTTTAATGCTATAATTGCTGTGGTTAGTGCTGCTTCATGATTTCACCTGTCAAGGAAGAATGAATCAATAACCTTAAGACATTTTTCGAATTTTAGCTCTAACTTCAAAGTTCTAGGTAGACTGTGAGATGTGTATATATATACACACATGCATATATATATATATCTTTTCTATTCTCTTTTAGAAAAGGGACATATGTAGATTTTTGTATATCAAATCTCTCCTTTAAATCAGCATTTGTTAAGGGATTAAAAATTATCTTCTTTAGGCTAGTTGGAGCTTAGTATAAGATAACTACCACCTTCCTTTTGTTTCATCTTTGTGAAATAGAGTGATTTCACATTAAAAAAATACTAAGATAAACTTTATCAAATAAAAGGAATGCACTGAACTCAGTAAAAGGCTCAACGTTTTGAACACTACTTTTCCCAAAAGCCTCTGATCATTTAGGTATAAAGCAACTCTCTCAAATCACAGCAGCACAGAGAAGACTTCCTGGAACTCAATGTTGATGTTTTGATGGAAGGCAGTGTGCCTTGCAGAGAGCCTCCTCACTGTATAGGGGCAAAAATGACCACCAGGTAATGACTATACTATACTCTGTTCCACTTATCCACAGGGTTGGTTCTTTCTTGTGACAATAGATGCTAGATGCTTTTATGCTGGCAAACACGTTTGGTATTATCCTTTCTTTATGGAGAAAGCAATGGAAGTGGAGGGACACTAAATGACTTGGCCACATTAGAAAGCTCACAGGATACAGGCAGGTTCTCATCTTTGCAGTTTCTTAAATATTAAATACAGAACTTATTTTGTGGAAATATGTTAGTTGTGGAGTAAAGGAGGTGAGCATGGGGAATGTGGAGAGGGACAATTAACTCCTATTCCTTGCAAGGTCATTTCATCTGTCATATCTACAACGTACTAAGTGCTTCCCTAGTGGCCTTAAAGAGATAAAGCTCTCTTGAGTTGACCCAGGGCCACTGGGTAGGATGGGCTCCCCAGGTGGCTTAGTGAGTAAACAATCTGCCTGCCAATACTGGAGACACAGGAGACATGGGTTTGATCTCTGAGTCAGGAGGATCCCCTGAAGGAGAGCATGGCAACCCACTCCAGTAATCTTGTCTGGAAAATCCCATGGGCAGAGAAGCCTGGTGGGCTACAGTCCATGGGGTCTCAAAAGAGTTGGACATGACTTAGCATCTAAACCACAAGACATTGGGTGGGTCAGGGCCAGTGCTCTTCTGGTGTGTGCGTGAGCCCATGCCGCCTGGCGGAAGTAAGGTAACAGTGTTCCAACTACATGCTGTCTCACCTAGTGTTTTGAGAACCAACAGAAGAGATTTTGGGTGAGAGAGGTGGGCGAGGGGCTTAGGTAGGGAGCACATACATGGCACTGAGTGACTCTGGGAGTTTCTCTGATGGAACCTCAGTGTGCAGCAATTATGCCCTCACACTGGGAAAGCTGGAACCCCTTCCCAACAGTTTTTTTTTTTTATATTACTCTCTTTCATGTAATGTTTCACAGAGATTTTCTACAATTTGACAATTACGTATGGCCTTTTTTTTTTAACTGTCCAAAGCAATGGTGTGTTACTTTGTAGTAGCAGGTATTTTTATAGAATTCAAGTAATAAACACTATATCCACATTTAAAAAGTCTCAATCCTAATTTCATTTCCTTTTCATTCTCTCATTTATCTCTTTGTTCTCACTTAAATATGCTCAGTCACTCAGTTGTGTCTGACTCTTTTCGACCCTATGGACTGGGGCCCACTAGGCTCCTCTCTGTCCACGGATTTTCCTAGAGAGAATATTGGAAAGGTTTGCCATTTCCTTCTTCAATTGGAAAGATCAGCTATTTTCAGTCAGTTTTAATGCTGCTGTGTATTTTCATTATGCACAATATGCTTAAAATATTTTTATTTTGCTCAAAATGATCAACTTGCAACTTAAGGACAGCATATTATAATGGATGAAAATGTACACTAAGATATTCAGGAGCAAAAATGTTTATGATATTGAAAAGTCAATAAACAATTTGGAGTTGGTCTTGCTACAAAAGGATAAGCTACTCCAATTCTTTTCTCTTTTTTTTCTGATTCTAAAGGTACTGGTTCTGAAAAGAGAATATAGTGGTAAGGCATTTATAGCACTGAGTATGTGGTTAAGCACTGAGTATATTGTTAAGAGAATAATTAAGCTCAGAATTAGAATTCCCAGTTGTGAACAAACTAATCAGATTATTTTGTAGACAAAATCCCTTATTTCACCAACAAAAGTTCAAGTATCTGGCTCTTCTGTCACTCATCCTTTCTCTGTCCCTATCTCTTTCTTCCAGCTTCAGGCAATAATTCCATTTCCTTGTGCATACAACATGGTAGAACACTATACCTAATAATATGCTTGCAACGTGTTCTCCAAATATTTAGCCCCGAGGGCTCAATGATCAAGGATCATGAGACTCTTCCCTTCCCTTTCCTCTTCTCTGCTTGAAGCCATACAAATAGAGTCATTTTTGTCTTTAGAGAAGTCTATAAGAAATAACTTTATGGATGCAAATTTTTCTTTTAGAGCTTTATTTCCCAAATCTATATGAGTTTTCCACCTCTAAAGTTAAAAAATAAAAAAATAAAAAAGCATCCTAGTGACTGGAAATGTAGAAATGATTGCTTGTTTTGCATAGAGCAGATGGCAGATATCTGGTAGAATGGAAGACTGAGATACAGCTTCCTTGAAGCAAGACTCATCGAGCAGCTGTTGAATCTTCACTCTTTTCACCTATCTGAAATAATTTTGTGCAACGTGCAAGTGATTTAAATAATATATTTTATGAATATTTTCATAAAAAATACTTATACACAAACTATAGCATGTAATTCCCAACTGTTAGCTATAAAATTTCAGGGTGAGAAAGTGCAGGAATAACTTACTATTATCTCATCTATTTTACTGATGCATTTTTTGAGTATTCTATCTAGCAGGCTGTAGTTCTGCTTTCATTAAAAAAACAGATACTGGCAGGTTATTTTAATGCAAACTATTCATATTTAAACATTCAATGAGGTTTCATTTATTTATAACACATAAGGTATTAAGCATTTCAATGAAGATTCTGAAATAAATAAAAGAGGGATACTAAAGTGCACTGTATATGTCTCCATTTCAGAAAGGAACTACATGGTAGTCTCATTACTTGTTTTTGACATACAACACTCACTTTTCCACATTTGTCAAGAACTTGAAATCTATGTTTTATAAAATTTACATTGGAAGGAGATTTATGCAGGTTGAGATGGAGAGCCAAGTTTGTGTTGAAGGGATGGCAGAAATTTTCAGAATAATATCCAACTTATTACCTACCTCCCTCAGCACAGGGTCAGTGATACTGTCCAGGTTCACAGAGCCTTCATAGGTTAGGTAGTGAAAAACATTCAGAGCCCGGACTGCTTCCGGTCCTCTCTGCTTGTATCCAAATACAAGGTCAATCCACTGATGGAGTTGGCAAGAAACAAATTCACTTTCCAGGGCCTGGAATCAGTCAAGACAGAGATAAAGAGACCATGAATATTTAGTAAATCTCCATTCTTCTTGGCTTGAAATATTCTCTATAAATAAGTAGAATTCGTTCTTTGCCCTCCTGTATTTCACTTGTTTGGGTCAGACCTATTCTTAGAAATGACAAAGTACAACCTCTAATAAAACACAGACCTAAAATAAAATTTTCTTTTTAACTATTAAATGTACTCTTGACTTAACTGAATATGTGATGTGAATTTTAACATTAAATAGATTTCTTTAAAAAGACACATTCATGTTTAAAAGGAATTTGAAATGCCTGTTTTAATGCCATTCATAATAATTTCATTTTTAAACATTAGTTTCAATGTAAACAATTTCATTAGAAACTTTGATATATATTTACTTTCCTGCCCAAAGTCTTCAAATTTACCTCTAACACTACTACATAGCAGAATGGCTTTCTGCTATGAGTTAACTCTGCTATTATACTGTTTAGGAACCTCTCAGTAATTTTAGGTATTTGCTAGCCAGTGGGAAATGAATGCAAATTACTGAGAGTTAGGGACTATAAGAAATTTCAAGAGTCAGGAAAAAAAAAAAGAGGCCTTTTCATTTCCTGAGAAGCCACCATAAGTGTTACAGAGGTACCCTGGCCGGCAGGCACGGAGCCCTGGTCACAGCCGTGGTGGAGCAGTGGCCATCACAGTGTGGCTCACTATGCCTCTCACCTCCTGCCCTCACTCATCATCAACTTCTTACTGATTTGAAGGGCACACCAATTTCAGCAACATGAGGAAAAAGCTGTAGCACTACCTTCTTAAATTTCAACTATGCAAAGCCATAGAAAACAATTTTTGCAATTACAGCTGTAACTGAATATGTGAATGAAGTCATTCTTTGGCTACATGCCCCCTGATTTCGAAGGCGTTGAAACCAGCTTGGAATTCAATTAATAAATGGTTTCTTAAATTAGCCCTTTGATAATTATATTTCATTTTTTTAATCTAAAAATTATCTGAATGATACTTCTCAACTTTTCCTGTGATCATATTTTAAAAAATAGTTTTACTTATTTATTCATTCATTTTTGGCTGTGCTGGGTCTTCGTTGCTGTGTAGGCTTTCCTCCAGCTGCGGTGAGGGGTGCTGCTCTCTAGTTATGATGAGTGGACTTCTCACTGTAGTGGCTTCTCTTGCTGCCGAGCACGGGCTCTAGGGCGTGTGGGCTCAGCAGTTGCGGCTCCAGGGCGCTGGAGCACAGGTTCGGTATTGTGCATGGGCTTAGTTGCTCTGCAGAATCTGGGATCGCCTTGGATCAGGGATCGAACCTGTGTCTCCTGCATTGGCAAGTGGATCCTTGATCACATTTAACTAGTAACTTATTCCCATCAAACTCCATTTTTATTTACTTCAAAAATTTTGGTATTTTGTTTATACCAGTGATTATGAATGTTTCTCATTCAGAAATATAAACAGATTTTTTAAAAGGATAGCTTTCATACTAAAACTAAACTGAATTTCTATTCTCTGTATCTCATTGGGCAAAACAGTTCAGACTAGAGAACAAGGGATGAAAATACAAAACAGACATTGGTTAAAATCCCATATTGATTATGTCTATCATATTGGTTTGGCCAATTTGTATAAATGGGAAGTCAGTAATTATTCAGTGCATGTGCAATAAATGGAAGGATGAAAAAAAACAACAACAAATAAATGGAAGTTCATTACAGAGTAGCTATTGCACAAGTCTGCTCATTGGAAGTCAAACAGAAGTGAAATTCTTTAAAGGAAGATCTTACCAACATAATTACGTAATTAGCTCAGCAGTAACCATTTCAAATCAATCTTGTAGAGACTACTAGACATATTTGGAAGAAAGGGTCAATGAAATTTACTGCATTTGAATAAAACAATTACTGAACTAAATGCCTAATGCAACTATGAGAGTTGAAAGCAATGATCACTGTTGCCTAATTTGAGTTTTCAAACATTTATTTAGTATCTCCAACCGCTCCTTTCATTTTCCCTTGCCATGGGCAATGCTATAAAGTTTTTAATGTTTCTCCTTTTGTTTGCATGTGTTTTTATAAAACATTATTCACGTAATTTTTTTTTTACCTTTTTTTTAACACATACACATTTTTTTGGCGTGTATTTCTGACTCACAAAAATGGAGTGGGGTTATAGATTTCATTGTTTCTTACTTTCTTCACTTAGCCTTGTTTTTTAGGATCTAACTGTGTGGCCAGGCATAGCTAATCCACTGCTTTTAGGGGCTGCTCAGAACTTCCGCAGCAGTGAGCACTAGACTGCCTCCAATGTGCCAGGACACAATGCTCTGTGACGAATGTCCACTCCTGCGTCCCTGTCTGACTCTTTATGAGAATATCTTTGGGACTCATAACCTGGAGTAGGACTGATACATCCCTGTACTAGATGTGCATAAACGGAGTCTGAGTCATTAGTGTAGATTGGCTGTTTCTGCCTCCACTCCCTCAAGCAGCGCATGAAGGTGTGTCTACATGGCCACATCCCCACTGACAACTGGTATTGTCCAGGTGCTTAATATTAGCCTGTGATACAGATACAAAACAGTATCTCACTGCTGTTGTAATTTGTTTTCCTCTGATTACTGAGGGGTTTGACATGTTTTTAATATGCTGTTGGCCATTTGGGTTTCCTCTTCAGTACATTTTCTGTTCATGCTTTTTGCCCATTCTTTCGTGAAAGTTCCTGTCTTTATGTTTTTTTTTTGCAGAAATTCTTTATATATTTCAGGTGGTAGTTTGTTGGCATCAAATTTTGCAATGCATTCTCCCAAAGGTCACATGTCTATTAACTTTATCCATGTTGTTCTTTGTTGAATAGAAATTCTTAATTTTGAAGCAACAAAATTTTTTTCTTTATGTTTATGATCTTGGGATTTTGTTTTAAAGTAACAAAGACAACTTTCTAGACTCTGATGTGTCAGCTGTGTTATAGTTATGGTTTTACTTTTCATATGCATGCATGCATGCTAAGTTGCTTCAGTCATATCCAACTCTGCAACCTTATGGATTGCAGCCTGCCAGGCTCCTCTGTACATGAAATTCTCCAGGCAAGAATATTGGAGTGGGTAGATGTGTCCTCCTCCAGGGGATCTTCTCAACCCAGGGACTGAACCCGTGTCTCTTACATCTACCTGAATTGGCAGGTGGGTTCTTTATCACTAGAGTCGCCTGGGAAGCCCTACTTTTCACATACTGGCCTTTAATCTATCTAGAGTCCAATTTCACTATATGTGGCATTAGATCAGCTCAGTTCAGTTGCTCAGTAGTGTCCAACTCTTTGCAACCCCATGGACTGCAGCATGCCAGGCTTCCCTGTACATCACCAACTCCCAGAGCTTGCTCAAACTCATGTCCATCGAGTCGGTGATGCCATCCAACCATCTCATCCTCTACTATCCCCTTCTCCTCCTGCCTTCAATCTTTCCCAGCATCAGGGTCTTTCCCAATGAGTCAGTTCTTTGCATCTGGGGGCCAAAGTATTGGAGTTTCAGTGTCAGCATGAGTCCTTCCAATGAATATCTGGGACTGATTTCCTTTAGGATGGACTGGTTGGATCTCCTTGCAGTCCAAGGGGCTCTCAAGAGTCTTCTCCAACACCACAGTTCAAAAGCATCAATTCTTTGGCACTCAGCTTTCTTTATAGTCTAACTCTCACATCCACACAGGACTACTGGAAAAATCATAGCTTTAGACTAGACAGACCTTTGTTGGCAAAGTAATGTCTGTGCTTTTTAATATGCTATAGAGATCCAGTATAATTTTTGTTACTATAGTAAGTCAGTTTTTCCAAAACCGTCTATTAAGCAAGCACACCTTTCTTAAGCAATGTCCGCTTTCATCTTTAGTGCTTATGTATTTGAAACAAAGATATAAAGCTTCTATTGTTTATAGTTAATATAATATTCTTCCTATTAATAGAAAAAGCAATACAACCCTTCTTCCCTTTCTACCTTCCTTCTTTTTACTTTTGCCCTCTTCTATCATCTACCCACCTATGTCCCTACCTGTTATCTATCTGTCTAGACATGTGTGTGTCTCCAGCTCTTTGATCCTGTTAGTTCTACTGTTATCTTAATTTATCTTTATTTCTTAGATATCTTAACACCTGGTGGATTCACTCTTTCAAGAGCCAGCTCGGCTACTTGTGGCCCTTCATTCCTCCCTGCGGGCTTGCTTCCCTGGTGGCTCAGTGGTAAAGAATCACCTGCCAGGCAGGGAGCCTGGGTTCAATCCCTGGTTGGGAATATCCCCTGGAGAAGGAAATGGTGAGCCACTCCATTATTCTTGCCTGGGAAACCCTACAGACAGAAGGAGCCTGGAGGGCTGCTTCCATGGGGTAACAGAAGAGTCAGACATGACTCAGTGACTGCTGCTGCTGCTGCTAAGTCGCTTCAGTCGTGTCCGACTCTGTGCGACCCCACAGACGGCAGCCCACCAGGCTCCGCTGTCCCTGGGATTCTCCAGGCAAGAACCCTGGAGTGGGTTGCCATTTCCTTCTCCAGTGCGTGAAAGTGAAAAGTGAAAGTGAAGTCGCTCAGTCGTGTCTGACTCTTCATGATCCCATGGACTGCAGCCTACCAGGCTCCTCTGTCCGTGGGATTTTCCAGGCAAGAGAGTGGGGTGCCATTGCCTTCTCCTGGACTTAGTGACTAAGCAACAACAATTCTTTCCTGCGACTTTCACAATAAGTGTATAGATACATCAAAATAATTTTGATTGGGATTATGATAAATTTATAGGTTAATCTGAGAAAACTGATATTAGGTTTTCCCATCCATGGTCTCAGAATGTCTCTTTATTTAAACAGATTGCTTTATTAGATATAGAAATTAACATTTTCTCTATAAAGTGTGGTGTCCCAAGGGTGAAAAAACAGAAAAAATATACCCAAAGAGGGCCTTGGAATGCAGGAATAGAAAAAACAAGACCCTTACCATCCATCCCTCCCTCATGTTGT